GGGTGATGGGCATTGAGGAGGGCACCTGTGGGGATGAGCACTGGGGGTTGTATGGAAACCAATTTGACAATAAATTTCCTTAAAAAAAAAAAAAATTCAGCACGGAAAGGATCCACCCCAGCTCAGCAAAACTACGGCCCTTCTCACTGAAGGCAGGTGCCGGAACTCAGAAGCTCTGAAAATGCTGCAGCATGTTCCAGAGGAAAACCTGGCATCGTGAATCAATGTAAATGTGTTTAGGTCTACACAGCTAATATGTGGACATAGGAGTGAAGAGCAATGTCCAAACAGCTGGTCTGGGGATTATTTCTAACCCAGGTTGGGTCTGAAAGATGACTCAGAGCAAGTAGCTGAACTTCTCTGCTTTCCATTTCCCTGTCTTAAATGGTTACAACAAACTAGACTAAGAGCTCACACGCTGGCAAAGAATCTTCGAAGCCATCTGGCTGAATCCCACTTCCATTCTCAGAAAGGACACTGAAGGCCATATACCTATTTTCAGGGAGGGGGCGCTGGTCATGCAAAAGGCCAGGCCCCGAGGTAGGTGGCTGTGCTGGCTGAGTAGAGAGTTTGCCCCAGCGGCAGGGGGTGTGGGGAAAATCTGGACCAGGAGGCAGAAAACTGATTCAGGGGCCTCCAACTCTACGTCCTTCAGAAAGTTATATCCTCTCTAACCCTCAGACTTTTAGATGGTAAAGTTAAGGGAAAGGGGAAGAAATAATATATATTAAGTCTCAGTATTTATCAGGCACTGTACTAGGCGGTGTTTTCCCATGATTCACTCACCAAAATTGTTACTGAGATTCAACTATATGCCAGGTGATGGACTGTCTAAAGTGCATATTCCCAGCCCTCATCTGTAGAGATTTGGATCGGCAGGTTGGGAATCAGGCTCAAAGATCTACATTCGCAACTGAGGTGGTACTAAGGCAGATTATTCTGGGACAGGTATTTCGTGGACCGGACTTTACAAAGCACTGTGACAGCTACTCCCATAGATGAAGGAATGTAAATGTGAAAAAAACAAAACAAAACAAAAAACCATGGTCTGTGCCCCCTTCGATGGTCACATTTGATTTGGAAGGTAGCGGAGCTTGTGAAAAAATTATGATACGAGATACTAATTACTAAATCAGAGTTATTTGCATAGTAGGGCACGAGTATAAGACGATTCCTGTGTCTGTCAAAGGAACTGAGGTGAGATCTCCCCCAAAGAGGCAGAGTGTAAGCAGAATCTTAGAGGAGGGGAAGAATGAAGGGGTGGGGGGGGTGTGGTTTGTCATGAGCACACGTGGAGTGAGGCTGCTCCTGCGAGAAGGAAGAGCACGTACAAACGCGTGTGCATGAGTGCACAAGGCTTGCTACAAACAGCCCGGTACTGAGGAGGCTAAGGGGCGAGGAGAAGATGAGGGAGGCGCTGTGTAGACGCAAAGCGGTGTAGACAGTGTCTCTGATCATGAAGAGGGTGATGGGTCTTCCAAAAGAGTTTAGATTTCACCCTATCGCGAGTGGGGAGATGACACATTCCCTCTGGCTGCAATGTTTAGGAGAATTCCAAAGCCCAGGCCTAAACTAGGGAATCGGCCAAGTGAGGAAGAGAAGTATTTTGCGATATCCAGAAAGTGGAATTGTCAGAGCTTTGTGATTAATTATGCGTCCAGGAGGAACTAAAACCAGAGTCAAGAGTCTATTGCCTGGCACAGGGCAGGCATCCAAACAGCCTTGTGAGTTGGATAGCTGGATGCGTACAGGTGGCATGCCTCCACAGGAGAACCCTGGAGAAAGATCAAGTTTTGGAGAAAAGATACATTCATTTCTGAGCCTGTTGGCCCAACAGGGCTAAACTGCAGACGAATGGCCTGGGCGGGAGAAGTAGCTTAAAATCTCCTGGCTTATAGGAAATAGATGCAGTTCCTACATGGTTCAGACCTACACACATACAGGCAGGCACGCACACACTCAAGCAGGTGACGGAGGATGAAGGGCTCACAAAAGACTGTCTCTTGTCTCGACTACCTTCTAAGGCAATGATCGGATGAAACAGTGTTAGGAGATGAATGTGAATTCTAGTCCCCTCATGTGGACATGTTCCCTCTGCCCGGTGCCTGCTAACCCCAGTGCAGGTTCAGGGAACCCACTCCCATTAAAGCAAACCAGTGCAAGACTTTCAACCCCAAGTGAGCGACTCATGAGGTGTCTTGAAAACTAACTGGGTCCTCCACAGTGACCATGACTACAAGATGCCGAAACATTTACTCCAAGAGTGAAAAACCCACTTAATCATAGCCAGCAGTTGCCGCTCGTGGTTTGGGCGAGAAGGAGGTCACATAATTGAGGTGAATGAAACAATAGGGCGCCATCTCTGGGTATCGCTCACACCTAGTTATTTTGCCTTGAAAACACCAGGCTTGCCAAATACAACATTCAAAAGCAAACCCTCCACGGGCCTCACAGCCGGTTTAAACCTCTGATCTCAGTGTTTCTAAATCCTTATTAACATGTTGTAGCTGGGGAATAGCTGTAAGGTTTTCTGTCTTCATCCATCATGGCAGATCAGCCTTATGTGTATGTGGTCAGAGGGTATTCACATGCTCCTTCTTTGCCCAGAGACCAGCATCCTTTCCCTTCTTCTCTTACTAGATTAGTTTTTAGGGCTTCCATAAGAGAGAACCACTAACTGGGTGACTTATTTATTGTCACATGGTTCTGGAGGCTACAAGTCCAAGATCAGGTGTCTGGAAGGTTGATTCCTTCTGAGGCTGTGTGGGAAGGACTTCTTCTAGGCCTCTCTCCTTACAATGTCGATGGCTGTCTTTCCCCTACATCTCTTCACACTGTCTTCCCTCTGTCTGTGTCTGTGTCCAAATTTCCCCTTTTTATAAGGCTACCAGTCCTATGGATTAGGGCTCCCCCTAATGACCTCATCTTAACTTGACTATCTCTGCAAAGGCCCTATTTCCAAATAAGATCACATACTGAGGTGCTGTGGGGATTAGGACTTCAACATGTGACATTTGGGGAAGACACAATCAACCCATAACACTTATGCATTAACTCAAAGCAGATATTGTCAAGAAAAAGCTCTCCTCTGATTTGCGGAATGGAATTCAGAAGAGACCAGAAGACGTCCTTGTGTCCTCACCACCAAGAGGGAAGAAGCATGGAGGTCCACACACTAATGACGTTAGGTAAGAAAATGCTTGCTAAACTCATGGAGATGTCATTGAATCCCTCTTCCCAACTGACCTCCCAAAGTGATCCTCTCCCTGAGAAAATGCTGCCTTTTCTCCTTAAGCAACAAGACACTTCCCCATTCTGTGACCACCCCCTTCTCAGCCACTTCATTACCTCAGCCGATACCAACTGAAGGGGACCATGGTCTGACAACTGGAAAACTCAAAATATAGGCCTTCTTGTTGTTTTTCACAGACCTTTCTTCTTTTTACCTCCTTCCCCAGAGTGCTGGCCACCAACATGACCCAACAAATGTACAGAACTAAGTCCCAGATGCCTCTTTTCCATCACGCTGGCTTCAAAGACGCCACGAAAAGCAAAGAGCAGTCGCTATCTCAAAATTACAGAGCTTCTCACTTCACAGCCGAGAAGCCACAAGCCCAAGAAAAAGATTTTATGAGCCCACCAAAAGGCAAAGACTCCAACAAGGGCATCTCTATTCTGTGTCAACATCAAGACGTCTCCATCAACACCCTAGACCAAGGCCCTGGTTCCAGCCCAGTTTGTGAAAGTGGAACACCACACATGGATGAGACCAGACCAAAGGATGCCAGCCTAAAGCCAGACCCCAATGCTGGGAAACAAAGTCCCTTGAATCCCATGGAATGTGCAAGAAACTTGAAAGGCGAGTCCATAACACCTACCTTCTTAGAGCTGTTTGCTAAGGTCAGAAATGCCCACTACCTCCGGCACAGGGTCCCCCCGGAGTCTGAGAGATTGCTTAGCATTGGGGAGATATTCGGGCACAAGGAATCCTTACAGCCCAGAACAGGACAGGAGTGTAAGAACAGGGTGAGCATCTAATTTCCTTCCTCTCTAACCACCTAGTGTAACCTCACAATAACTTGCTAAAAAGATGTATTCCTCAAGTAATTGTATATATACATACACATATATAGGTACACACACACACACACACACACATATACATATATGTCAATTTTATTTTAAACCCTCAGGTTTTTCTTTTTTTTTCCTTTTACAGGGATATAATCTCTCACTGAATGAGCAATACAAGTATACAAAAAAGGAGGGGAGAGATGAATCTTCTGACAACACTTTAAGGGATGCGCATATGTTGCGGATGTCATCAAAAATATGAATCTACGGGGGCGCCTGGGTGGCGCAGTCGGTTAAGCGTCCGACTTCAGCCAGGTCACGATCTCGCGGTCCGTGAGTTCGAGCCCCGCGTCAGGCTCTGGGCTGATGGCTCGGAGCCTGGAGCCTGTTTCCAATTCTGTGTCTCCCTCTCTCTCTGCCCCTCCCCCGTTCATGCTCTGTCTCTCTCTCTGTCCCAAAAATAAATAAAAAACGTTGAAAAAAATTTAAAAAAAAAATATGAATCTACATCGACGACTAGACTTTTTTCGAAAGGAAAAATATGAAGGGTCCTGCTTATGTTGGCCACCCTTTTCTTATAGGAAGTTCTTATGGTGCCACCTTCTGGCACAATGACATAGCTCTTCTCTTCCAGTTCACCTCTAACATCCATGCGGGGAGAGGGACTCAGTTGGAAACAGTTACCATCACGCCGTCTATAATTAAAACCTGCTCTCTCCTGCCACAGCCCTGGGCTCATCGAAAGTCCTTGCCTCACCTCTTTCCTTTCCACGTGGCTCCATTTTAGCTTTCTCATTCTCGTTTCCACGTGCTCATATCACACTTTCTGGATCCTAATAACAGATTAATACACAATTACAACATTTCCTCTAACATCTGACGTTTCTCTCAAGAAGCAAAGCAACAGAGGAAGGCGGGCCGGGGCGACAAAACCGATTCATGGATACTGAATGTATTCACACTGGCCCGTGACCAAGCTAGCAGGTACAGGGTCACATAGTTTACAGAACCCCTCTGCAAAGTGCCCCCAGCCCTTTCTTTTACGTCCTTCCTTCGTTCTTCCTCCTTGTCTTCTGCTTAAACCCCATCTGTCTCCATTACAATCACCCTCCAAGGGTGAATTTCCAAAAATGATTTACCCTACTTCTACGTGAGCCTTTTCTCTGGCTCAGCCACTGGAGGACGGGCCATCACCAAGGCAGCCGGGAGCGTGGCCCCAGCCTGAGCCTCTGCTCCACATGCCATCAAATCCTCCACTCCAAGGACACCTCCGTCTTGTGAGCTCGAGAAATAAATATTCTGCACATGCCTCCTCATAACTGTGCTTGTGTCTTCATAGACCTGACGGGCCCGGATCTGTCTGTGCTTCTAACGCCAGTATTTTGGACACGCTACTTTGAATGACATGTGATGCATTGCCACAAAATTGTGCATTTCCAGGGTGGCTTAGTCGGTTAAGCGTCCCACTTCGGCTCAGGTCATGATCTCACGATTTGTGAGTTCCAGCCCCACATCGGGCTCTGTGCTGACAGCTCAGAGCCTGGAGCCCGCTTCGGATTCTGTGTCTCCCTCTCTCTCTCTGACCCTCCCCTGCTTGTACTCTGTCTCTCTCTCTCTCTCTCAAAAATAAATAAAAAAACATTTTTTAAAAAAAGAAGGAGGAGGAGGAAGAGAAGGAGAAGAGCAGCTGAAATCCCTGGGCTTCACAAGGCATATCAAGCTCCAGGATGGCTTGTACCCAGTCATCCTGAAGTCACTCATTCATACCCTGGTCTCAGCTGGGGATACACGTGCTCCCCAAAAGACATTCGGCAGTGTCCAGAGACAATTCGAGTTGTCACAACCCAGGCAAGGGGTTTAAGAAACCCCAACCTATATACCGTTGCATTAAATCTTTGCAAAACCCTCTGAAGGGTAGGAAATCCGTGAGACGACTGCTTCTGTTTTACAGAAAAGAAAATCGAGCCTCATGATAAGCCAAGCGACTCTCTCCGTTCCAGAGTGTGACTGAGGCACAAAGGTCAGGACGCTGCTTTCCTGTCCTAACTTCTCTCTCAAAAAGGGGGTGGCGGGGGGAGGGTCGTGGCACAGTTGTCCAATGGCTTGTGTCCTCATTTTCACTTTGAAATACTTTCTCCCTATAAATAAAAATCTTAAACAATCAAATTAGAAAGAAATGGTGAAAAGGAAAACTGAGTACTTCAATTTTGAGGGAATATGACACTTTTTACTACATCCATTCATGTATTTAGAGATATATTGAGGAGAATGTCTTCTCCATTTAGCCCCCCCACCCATGAGGAAAAGGGGGCTTTCACCTTGATACCTGAACCCATCCAATGGGCAGGGGAATCCATGCTTCACCTGTAGGCAGAGGCACCTGGAAACTCTGAGGTGGTTGCTCAGCCTCTTGCCCAGGGTCCCGAAGTTCTGGAGGCTGTTGAGAGGGACCCCAAAGGTTCCCACAACCCGCAGTGATTAGGTAAGTTGCTACCAGTAACTCTGGAGCAGCAGCCCCCCTGAGGGTGAAAGCCCCAGAGGCAAGGCGAAGGGAGGAGAACTTGGAGGGCGTCGCCCCCACACCAAGAACCCCAGGATAGCAGAGGCTCAGTCCAACCAAACAGAAGTCAACGGTCCCACATCACCAGCAACAGCCACCAGCATAGCAAGAACTGCTGAAAAACAAAGGAAAGCCAGGACGCCTGGATGGCTCAGTCGGTTGAGCATCTGACTCTTGATTTCGGTTCAGGTCATGATCCCGGGGTCGTTGGATCGAGCCCTGCCTCAGGCTCCACGCTGAGCATGGAGCTTGCTTGAGATTCTCCCTCTCCCCCACTCATGAGCTCTCTCTCTATATATAAAATACATTTTTTAAAAAATTAAAAAACAAAGGGAAGCCAGGGATGTGTGAGCCAAGTCCTTCCCTCGCCCGACCCGACCCCAGCCCTGTGCAGGCGTTGGGACACTGAGGGCAGAAGGAGGGAGACAGAGGAGGTCCAACCTCACACTTGTGCTGAGCCCAAGCTGCACTGGGGTGGGGAAGAAAGACTTTAAACCGGACGAGGACCCAAAGTGATAATATCTAATGTGGTCGAAGAATGTCTACCAGAGATGAAACTTGTAAAACAGAAGTGACAGGAAGTTGTCAGATCAGACTGAGGTCGGATTAAGCCAAGCTGGTAGCAGTTACCAGGAGAAGAGCCCCCCCACCCCACCCCACCCCATCCCGTGGTTACACATCATCGAGCTGGGATTTCTCAGTCCACTCTACATGGAACAGCATCGTGCTGAGAAACATTCAGCAAGGAACACACGTGCTTATTACACAACCTCATCTCAGATGGGGCTGGGGATGTGGCTCACCTGAGACTTATAGGAGAAAATTTCCTTAATTAGATGTTGTATGAACTAGGCACCAGTCCTCCCATAGTCCTGCCCCTGCTGTGAACGTGCTCTGGGTCCCAACAGCTGCATCACTTAGAAACTGTGGATGAGATGTAATGTAATCAGTTCAATTACTTTGAATTGCTCAAGTTTAATTCCCTTCGAGTTGCACCACGAAGCTGGGCCAGGAACAACCCTTCCCAGGAAAAGGAAAACACGTGCAACTATACATATAAAGACTCCAAACACACTTAACACACATTGCTTGGAATCAAACCCAATGTTAGCATGGGGCTTCTCAACTCAAAACTATTTGTAATAAAATATTATTCCAAAAGTGTGTGACAAAGAGAAAATGTAGGCAAGCTATCGATAAACATGTCTAATTCTGCAATTCACTGCTGGGAATTTTTTTTCATGTTTATTTAGTTTTGAGAGAGAGAGGAGGTGGAGGGGCAGAGAGCAAGGAGGACAGAGGATCTGAAGAGAGCTCTGTGCTGACAGCAGCGAGCCTGATGTGGGGCTCGAACTCACGAACCGTGAGGTCATGACGTGAGCCAAAGTTGGAAACTCAACCGGGTGGGCCACCCAGGCACCCTACTACTCGGAAATTTTGAACACTCTTGCTGAGGACTATTTGTGCATGTTGAGGCAAAAGAAATGAGACAACAGACAATATGTTCAAAAGCAAAGGGGATAGCTAAGACTGCAGGAGGAGGTCTGACAGTGCGGGAGAAGCCACCGGAAGTGGGAAGTAGGCTCCTACATGGCCATCACTGGGGCCTCAGCCTATTCCCCACTTCCGGCTAAGCCCTAGCAAATAGGATGGTATGAGCAGAACAATGAGCGATTCCAACAGTTGTCTTAACATCATTACATAAAACGTTAGGTCGAATGTTGTAGAATATGTGCAAGCATTCATATTTGAAAGATAATTTCCCTAAAGACTTTTCCTTCATTTTCTTAGGGGGTACGCACTCACACAAACACTCACACACAACACTCTTCTAACCTGGCCGTGAAAGCCAGGTGCCCCATGGTCTCAGGGCACCTGGGCTGGTTCACTACAAATGCTCCCACTAACAACATGGCAGCTCTCGGCATGTGGGTGGGAGGTGGTGGTGTTTCAGGGAGCTTCATCCTCAGTTTCAGATATGAGATGTGAACAGTCGACCTAATACGCGTTTCACATTCTAGCAAATTTGGTAAAAATTTTCAGCAGTGTCTTCATCCAGGTCCATCTGGAAGCGAAAGCAAAAATAGATATAATTTGGCCTTAAAATTAAAGGAAAACGAGATTAATAGAATTTGGGTTAAAATGGGTGGTATTTAACATGTATAGGAAGGGTGGAAAGCTATAAATTGGAAAGAGACCAGCGAGTTGGGCTCCTCTAGGAATTACTGGCAGACTGAAGACATGTGATCTCATGGTCCCAACCCTGTCCCTTACCAGGTCAGCTGGGACCCTCAGGAGCAGCAAAGCTGACAGATCTGAGCTTTGCTGCCCACAACGCCCTTGTTTTGGGGCAGAAGCTAACTACTGGTGCCATGACCCAAAAAGAGACAAGCCCCTATATTAAAAACACAACAGGGACCTCAATTCTGAACTCAAGACTCACTCATAATTATCTGAACAACTAAAAGTATAAACTTCTTTCCTATTACAACTGATTCTCAACAGACATTCCTTCAGTATAGAAAATAAGCAATAATCGTTGGGGTACCTGGGTGGCTCAGTTGGTTCCGTGTCTGACTCTTGATTTTGGCTCAGGTCATGATCTCACTCTTGGATCTCATGGTTTGTGAGTTTGAGCCCCATGTCGGGCTCTGGGCTGACAGGGAGGGACTTGCTTGAGATTCTCTCTCTCCCCCTCTCTC